TACCTCCGCACCTGACGCTTCCTGAATAGGAGCTGCGGAACTATCCTGATTTTCGGTTCGAATATTATCAGTTGTAGTATAGTCAGGAGAAGGGATGTTAGTGGCAGATACAAACTCCTGTCTTGTGGTGGTTCCCTCTTCAGGTTGGTTGTCATCAAGTTTGTTGGGAGCGCGTTCAGGCACATGGGGTGCACTAATAGTGTGTTCTTGCTTTTGACTATTGGTTCTTGCTTCTAACTAATAGTGTGTTCTTGCTTTTGTGGTGATTCCCTCTTCAGGTTGGTTGTCATCATGTTTGTTGGGAGCGCGTTCAGGCACACGGGGTGCACTAATAGTGTGTTCTTGCTTTTGACTATTGGTTCTTGCTTCTAACTAATAGTGTGTTCTTGCTTTTGTGGTGATTCCCTCTTCAGGTCGTGGGTGCAATCTGAAATTGGGAGCGCGTTCAGGCACACGGGGTGCACTAATAGTGTGTTCTTGCTTTTGACTATTGGTTCTTGCTTCTAACTAATAGTGTGTTCTTGCTTTTGTGGTGATTCCCTCTTCAGGTTGGTTGTCATCATGTTTGTTGGGAGCGCGTTCAGGCACACGGGGTGCACTAATAGTGTGTTCTTGCTTTTGACTATTGGTTCTCAACCGTGGGTGCAATCTGAAACATTTCTCATGCGGGTGTCCAAACATCTTGCAGTGTTTGCAGTAGTAAGGTTTTTGTTCCAGTGAGATTTTTTGCCAATAACTATTGTGAGCAGATCCAAACCAGACTTTTTTTATATATGGCAGTGTAATATCTCGTTCAATCAAAATCCTTGCAAAAGAGGACCTTAAGAAACAAAAGAGGACCTTAAGAAATGAATTGTAGGTAAGTCTACCTGCAAAGATTTTCCAAAGATAGTCACAATTGCATATAAGGTAGGTAGGTCAAAGAAATGAAGCTTTAGTTCAGGTAATGAGAGCCAGATAGGTGCAATTTGGGGTTCTTGACTGGGATCAAAATTAGGGGTTGAGCAATTTCATATGTTTGTCCTCAATTGTGATGAATTTCTTTGAGAAATCCTCGTGTCCAACTGTAGTTTAATTATATATATATATATATATATGTATA